GATTGTGACAGCTCATCACTGGATAGAGGACAAGACCCCGTCCCTGTACTCACACCAAGGGACAGCGAAGATACTTGTCTCTTCAGACAATGGTAACTTCTGACACATCTGAGCTGGAGGGCGGACAAACCATAACCAGCATCATCTGAAGCGAGGGAGGTTCAGGTTAGATGTTAGGAGAAACTTTCTAACTTCGAGGGCGGTTAAACTCTGGAATTGGCTTCCAAGGGAGGTTGTGGAATCCTGTCACTGAAAGTTTTTCAGAACAGGTTGGACAAACACCTGTCAGGATGGTCTAGGTCAGCCGTTCTCAACCAGCGGTCCGGCTGAAGCCCAGAATCTGCTCGCCAGTGTCCCGTTTCCCCCCCTCGTCGGGAGTTGAAGCTGTGATCCCCTGGACTCGTGTGCGGCTGAAGCCCGGAGCCCACGGGCAGAGTTGAAGGGCACGGGGCTGTTGCCCCCCCAAAAAATTGCAATGCAAGAACAGGATAGTACTGGGGACAGCTCTGGGGCTGGCAGCCCTCTGAGAACAGGGACCACAGAGGAGCCCTCTGGGCCCCCAGCCTCCAGCAACCCCCTACCTGCACCCTGAGCTACACAGCCCCTAGCTACCCCCACAGCTATCCCCCTGCCTGCCCCCAGCTACCCCCCCACAGCTATTCCTCTGCCCACAGCCCCCAGCACAGCCCCACAGCTATCCCCCTGCCCGCACACAGCCCCCAGCTACCCCCCCCAGCTATCCCCTGCCCGCACAGCTATCCCCCTGCCCGCACACAGCCCCCAGCTACCCCCACAGCTATTCCCCTGCCCGCACACAGCCCCCAGCTACCCCCCCACAGCTATCCCCCTGCCCGCACACAGCCCCCAGCTACCCCCACAGCTATTCCCCTGCCCGCACACAGCCCCCAGCTACCCCCCCACAGCTATCCCCCTGCCCGCACACAGCCCCCAGCTACCCCCCCACAGCTATCCCCTGCCCGCACACAGCCCCCAGCTACCCCCTGCCCGCACACAGCCCCCAGCTACCCCCACAGCTATTCCCCTGCCCGCACACAGCCCCCAGCTACCCCCCCACAGCTATCCCCCCTGCCCGCACACAGCCCCCAGCTACCCCTACAGCTATCCCCTGCCCGCACACAGCCCCCAGCTACCCCCCCACAGCTATCCCCCCTGCCCGCACACAGCCCCCAGCTACCCCCACAACCTCCCCCTGCCCGCACACAGCCCCCCAGCTACCCCCCCACAGCTATCCCCTGCCCGCACACAGCCCCCAGCTACCCCCCTGCCCACACACAGCCCCCAGCTATCCCCTGCCCCCACACACCCCCAGCTACCCCCTGCCCGCACAGCCCCCCCCCCCCCAGCTACCCCCAGAGCTATCTCCCTGCCCGCACACACCCCCCCCCCCAGCTACCCCCCCCTGCCTGCACCCTGAGCGACTCCCTGGGAGTAGCATTGGGGACAGCGCCACTCCCTGCTCCCCCACCATGGCTCCGGGGCTGGCAGAGAACAGAGGAGCCCTCCGGGCACACAGCCCCTCGCTAGCCCCTCCTGCCCGTGCACAGCCCTTAGCTACCTCCTCCCTGAGCTAGCCCTCGCCTTGCACCCCGTGATGCCCCCTGCCCACACACGGCCCCTAGCTACAGCCTGCTTGCACCCTGAGCTTCCTGTGTGGGGGCGGGGGGGGGAGCTCAGGGATCTCAGATAGCTGGTATCGAGGAATGGTGCAGGGAGGGGGTAGCGAGGCGATATGTAGGGGGCAGGGGAGTAGCTCAGGGTGCAAGGAGGGGGTAGCTAGGGGGCGTGGGGGGGCACCCTGAGCTGTTTTTCAGCCTTTTGCACTTAATGCATGGTGTGTGTTTGCGGGGCGCCGGGGGGGAGGGGGGCTACAGGCCCTCACGAAGGCCCTGCCAGCCCCACGGTGCTAGGGTTCAGGCTCGCTGGCTATGCTGAGCCTGCTCCAGTGAGTAAGTGCTACGCACTATAAGGGTGAAAAAAGCTGCCCTTGAATTCGCACATGAAGTGTCGTCCATTACAAGGGGTTTTCCTAGCTGCCCGTGGCCTCTCGGCACATGTCGCGCGCAGGACACTGACTTGCCGTGCAGAAACTGCTGGTATTGACCAGCTCATTGGGCTTCCCAGGCTCCGTTATACACGCGTGTGACACGCAGATGGATCCCCCTGCATGCCGCCTCCCCCCCGCTCTGCGTGTTTCCCAGCGCGCCTGACAGGCCCACCAGCGCTTTAGTGATGCCAGCCCATTGCTTTGTCTGAACAAGGTGGCGCCTGCCTTCTCCCAGCTGTTTGATTTAGCTCCTATTTTGTGTTATTTAAAGCTGGGGCCTGAGCCCCAAGGAGACATTAGTTGATGTGTGTTTGGCAGATTCAGGAACATCAGTAAAACAATTAGCAGACGCTTTCGCAAGACTTTTTCCCCCTCAGTTGGCTGAAATTTGTAATAACCGGCCACTGCTCAAAGCTTTGCACATAATGGCCACAGCCTGACCTGCAGCAACGCGGGGCTGCGGCGAGTGATTACTTCAGGCCTCCTTTGCACTCCCCTAATCCTGGGCTGGTTCCCCCATTTCTTCCAAAGCTGCACAATTCAGTGGTGCAATTCTGTGATGCTGAGATGGAGCAATTTGTCTGGCGAAAAAGACAATGTCTCAAAGCTCAGGCCCTGTCTGGAGGGAGCCAGGTCTGGCCCACAGTAAGGGGAGGGTCACTTCAGCTCTCTTCTCACCTTCCCAAACCTCAGGTCCCCCTCCCCCTGTCTTAGCAGGGCCCCTACCAGCCTCCTTCTAACTCTGCACCTGGACAACGCCCCCCGTTTTGCAATCCGGGGGCTGCTATCGGCACACCCAGGCCGCTGCCCAGTGCAGCACATTGCTGGGAGAATGTTTGCCTGGCAAAATTGAGTGTGTGTGTGTGGGGGGGGGGGGGGTCGGGGTCATCTCAGGGCTGCCATCTTCCGCTGGGCCTGACCCACTCTCTTGTGCTTGGGTAGAGCGCTGTGCCGAGGGGCAGGCAGCGAATGTGTGAGCTGACACACACAGAGCACATCGAGGTCACCTCCTAACCCCGGGCCGGAGGCTTTACCCCTTCAACGCCTAGCAATGACTGTCCCTCTAGGTGTTTGCTCGGTGAGGTACAGGTGGGGCCTCAAGGCCTGTAAGACACTAGCTTAGCCAAACTTATCAAGGCAGAAGGCCCCAAAACCCTTAGCGTAACTGTACCCCAGAGTAACCCTAGCTCCTCAGCAACCCCACTGCGGCTGCAGTGACTGGCCTGGTGGGAGGTATCACAAGGGGCTAGTTCAGTGGTCCCCAAACTTTTGAGGCTCATGCTCCCCTTTACCCCATCCACATGCCCTACCTGTTAGGCCAAGAGAGGGGCTGCGATTCGGGGAGGAGGAGACTCGGCCAGGGGTAAGGGGGCCGAGGCTGTGACTGCAGCTGGGGATGGGGCCAAGGGCAGAGCTGCGGCCAGGGGCTGAGGAGGTGGGAGCGGAGCCACAGCTGGGCCGTGGTGGGGGGCCGGCAGCTGGGCCATGGTGGGGGGCTGGCAGCTAGGCCACCCGTGGGTGCAGAGTCACGCCGAGGCTGGGGCCATGGCCAGGTGCAGGGGCCACGGCCGGAGCAGAGCTCGGGGCGGGGCTGGGTCATGCTCCCTCCCTGTCCCCCATGGGGGCTGGCCTGGGCCCCACTGAACATTCTGGTGTGCCTCCTTTGGGGGGCGTGCCCCACAGTTTGGGGGGCCTCGGTGCTAGTTTCTAGCAGCTTGGGATATAATTAGTTAGGGACATCAGGAAAGTCTGCCCACAAGAATGGTAACTGACTGATGTCAATGCTAATAAGCTGGAAGTAACAGGATGAGTAACCTATGGGAGGGGGACACCCCAGCACTACAAAGAAGAGAACAGGGTGGAGGGAAGATGATTTAGTTGGGGATTGGCCCAGCTTTGAGCAGGGGGTTGGACTAGATGACCTCCTGAGGTCCCTTCCAACCCTGATCTTCTATGATTCTATGTATCCCCATGGTGCTGCGAGCCGGGAGGTGTCACCCTGGGGAGATGTCAGGAGGACAACCCCTGGTGAGGGGATGCTGAGAACGAACACTGCAGGTTGTTTGGCAGGGGAAGGGGTAAGGCCGGGGATGCGCCGTGCTGCCTGCCTGGCTGGGGTGGAGTGTTTGGGAGTTTGATGGCTGTACTAATAAAACCATTACAATGATAGTGGGAGGGTTGCAGCCATGCACACCGGGACAGTAATTCTGATAACACTGGGCATGCTTTTGGGATAGGAACCTACCAACTTTCAGAGTGCTAACTAGGGGGAGTAATGTAGTAATATAATCAATATACAATCAGTAGGTCAGCCAACATTACTCACCAGAGTAGACTCAGTGAAGCCAATAAGACTACTTGTGAGAGTCAGCACCGCTCACTGTGACGATGGGTTGGAGACTCTCACCCTCTGTCGTCGCTTTGAAAGGTGCTGGATTACCCTGGACCAAACGGTGTCTAATAAACCCATGGTTGCTGCTTTTTGCCCCAGTGTCCATATATTGGACCTGATTCTCATCATACTTCAGTCATGAGTACCGCCACTGAAGTCAACGGAGTTGCTATATCTTCGCAATACTGGCGTAAGTGAACTCAGAATCAAGTGCATTGAATCCCTTATTATATTCCTGGCATCTTCCGTACGAGTGATTTACATGCCAGTTTTCAGACATCAGTGTAAACACTGCTGTGACCAGCAAGAGACAATGAGAGAGGAGCAGAGCTACAAAGTCCTGAATGAATACAGATGCAAATGTTTCTGAACGTTTAAGGCGTTCCAGGGCCCATGTTTCAGTTACGCTCACGTATAGAGAAAAAGGCAGAGGTGGAACTGAGCTCTGAACACAGGTCTGAACAGGGGAGTTAGGATCTGGAATTTTGATTCAGGCCCTAATAATAAGACACTAGGAATTTGGGAAACATTGGAAAAGGTAAGTAGAGAGGAAGAGGGAATAGCCTCTTTATTGAAGGAGAAATACTGTATCGTCATCCATGATATGACAATTTACTGTTCAGGGTAGAAGTCGATGCTGTAATTTTATATAGACAATTCATAGGATCAAACACCAGAATAGAATTCATGATCACATTTAGCATACATTTCCAAAGATTCAAAAGATAAAGAAGCATGTTTGTTTCCAAGAAATACCCTTAAGGGTTCACAACAGCGGAACATTTTGGAGGCGTGAAAGGCTTAAGTCGACGTTAAGGCAACAGGACAAACACAGCTCAGCAGTCTCCAGACGTGATGGCCCTGGTACTGAGGCTCAGTCTTGGGGGACAGGCAGCAGGGCAGCATTCTGCAAAGCAAGGAACAATCACAATCACTTCACATGCCAGAGACATTTGGAGCTTCTTGACAACGGCACCTTTATGATACACAGCATCCTGGGTGATGGCTCAAGTCAGAAATGGGTGTTTGTAATTTTTGTTTTCATTATGAAAAAGTACAAAAAGGGCGCAAGTGATAATGTTACAGATAAAAATTACAAACACCTCCCAGGGGAGAGGAAATCAATCGTTGCTTGGCCAGAGCTACTGCCTTCTGCAATTGGCAGTGGGACCCCTTGATCTAGCTTAGCTGAAATGAACAAATACGGCTTTTCTTTCTGCCCCAGCGGAAGAAAGCTGGCTGTATTGTTTCATGAGCCTGATAGATCTTTTCTGCCGATGACTGGAAATTGGAAGGGAACCATTATTAAAGTGTTGCCCGCAATCAGACATGTCCATTCCCATTGGGCAGATTTTCCAGCACAGGGACGGACAGAAGACAAGGCTTCCAGGACAACAAAGTGACTGGCAGCAGCCGAGCCACTACATCCTTAGACTGCTGTGTGTTTATTTCAGTCCTTGGTTGTGTCCTTAATGGTGTCAAACTGAACCTGCAAATATCTTTACACAGATTGTGAAAGCACATTTAATGCTGGTATGGTTGCTAGGCTGTGTGTGTCTGCACTGCAGGAGAATTAGCCATCGAATAAACAATAAACTCAGGGAGCTCTGAGTTGTATTGTTGTGCTAGACCAACGCACCCTTTGTTACACTATGTTACACCAATGGCCATGGATTCTGGCAGTTCTCTTTTAGCAGCTGTACTTTGCTCAGGACACCTACCACTTCATCCGGCGGACATTCATCCTGCAACCACTGGAAGCAACCCTGTAAGCAACTCTACAGTAGGTCCCGCTTAAGTGTTCCCCTCCCAATACATAACACAGGTTAGATTTCAACTGGTCAGACATGGTTCTCCAGCTGCTTTGGTTTCTAGGAGTGCCATCTGTCCACAGCGGCTCTGAAAGGTTTTCTGTGTTTCCATGGTAGGGAACGGGAAAGTTGAAGCAGTTACGCCGTGGGAAAAGCCTGTCACCAGAGAGGAGCGAGCGGGTGGCGTACAAATGCAACGCACTCACCTCAGTGGTATTTTCGGGAAGCAGAGGCAGTATTTGTTCAAGAAGACTGCGACCCTGTGAAATAAAAGAGACCGTGTGGTTACAAGCCAGCGCTCTGTTTAGCTTCCTGGGCAGGACCCTGCACCGCGCCCTTGGACACACCTCCCTGGCCTGGTCTCTGTGCAGGTGAACTGGGCCGCAGGCTGGCCCTGTACCAAGTCACTGCCTCCCGAGCTCCAATTCATGGCCGTCAGCACCCATGCCTCAGCTCCCCTCTCCTTAGGGTTCCTCACTGAAGCCTCAAAGGCTGTCTCGTTGCCAATGAGCCGCTTGCTTGGTCTGGTTCATTGAGCAAACGGTTCCAAAATAAAGTCCTCAACGTCCAGAGCAAAAGTAAGTTCTTCCTCCTGCACGCTTCAGCCAACCACTCCCAGCCCTGCCTGCCTGGAGTCTTTGCTCCCCAGTGTCTCACGGTACCCTGTGGGCCCCTTCTGACGGCCTGCAGCCCCCCAGCCAGCCTTCCTGTCCGGAGTCTCTCCCCAGGCCTGCCTGGGTCACATGCCTTTCTTCATTTCCCCGCCCGGGGAGAAGCGTTGGTTGTAGCACAGGTGGGGCTGACCCAGAGCCCCCGTTAAAGGGCCAGCGATCCGGTAATGGGCCTTACATCTGTATCCCTGCCTGGCGTGAGAAACGGAACCCAGCCCTGAACGTGGAGGCACAAGGCAGTTCTTCTCAATCCAGCAAGCTGACAGAAAGGGCCAGTGAGGCCCCTACAGCGAAATACACACAGGGAAGGGGTCACTGCATGCTTAGGCATCTCCAGAGGGGAGTGAATGATAACAGGGACGCTCAGTGGCCGCGCACTTCCCCGCCAGGTACGTGGGAGCGATTGTTATGGAGCTCAGCGGCGTGCAAGCCAGACATGGCTCTGTTAACTCTCTCGGGCAGCACCAGGTCAGCAGTGGGGCTGTTCCTCTGTGGCGGATGAGATGCCAGGCCGGAGCTCCTGGGAAGAGCAGCGTACGGGTGCGTTCCCCTGGGAACCACAGCTCATATTAAAAAGAAAACGGCAGGCAGAAGAGGGAAAGTGTTTTGCTGAAAAGAAACCCCCTAAGGGAGTGTTTTATTTGCTACAAACATAGTGAGTTTGGGGCAATTCCTTGCCAGGTGTGAGACACCCCGCCTGGGGTCCTCTCCCCAGGTCATAAAACCACTAACGCTGTGAGAGGGGAGCAGCTGGTGTGCGGTTCTGCCTGAGCTTCAGGACAGAGTTGTACTGGGCCGGAGTCAATGCCCAGACACTGGTGGAAAAACTCAGTGCGCCTTGGATCAAGTCTTCAGTCTTTGGAAATTGATGCACTGAGCACAATGGCAGCCAAGGAGAAGCTACTTGTTCCTGGGACTTCTCTGCCTCTAAGCCACAGGGAACAAGGCAGCACCTCCAAGAAACAGAAGACTCTCTTGGGTCAGGAAACATCCTCACTGTGTCTGCATCGGAGCAAACACATGTTATTCCTAGCCCAGCCTCTCTGGGACAGCAAATCCATTGACAGGGTAGCTGGGAGTCCCCAGACGCTCGGTCTCCAGTCCCTAGCATATGGGCCAGATCCTCCACTGCTGTAGCTCTGTTGACTTCAGTGGAGCTGAGCGAATTGACAACAGCTCTGGATCTGCCCCTCCATAATTAGCTGATTCCTTCTGGGCCAGGAAGTCCTATGCGAGTCCAACAGACCCCTCATGAGGAGCTCATAAAGCCCGAGCCCTGCAGCAAGAGGTGCCCACCACACCTTTGCCTAGGCAAGGTGGAAGCACTTACGGTCAGTTCTAGCACGATGATGTCAGGGTCAAACGACATTTTAAAGACGGAAGATGGGCTGTTTCCTGCAGGAGGGGACGTCGCACCTGCAGAGACACAAAGCGCACAGGAGCAATGAATGTGGCCAAGCGGCCTGGCAGCTGCTGAACTCTCGGAGGCATAAAGAAATGAAAGTCCTAGTGCAGGTTAGCAGATTGGTTTGGGCTTCAGCAGTGACCTGAGAGAGGGAGATGAGAAACTATTGCCCCCTTCAGAGCCCACCCCCAAACACCTGATCCACTGAAGGATTTTGCTCTTCAGGCCCTGGTACCGTTTCCCCCAGGAGTAGGAGACTGTAAATGTCTCTGGGGTACCAGTTTTGGGGTAATACCTTACTGCCCAAGCGGTGAGGGATGGGGATGGGGGGCAGAATCTGGGCCCTGAAAAGAAAGAGGGAGAAGTAGCAAAGAAGGAACTTACGTCTTGCTATGCTTAAGGATGCGTCATACAAGCCGGACACGACAGCATTTATCACTGGGCACAGCTGTAACACAAAGTAACACAAGCGTAGCCACCGCTTATCAGTCATGGTGCCCAGACAGCAGTGCGGACATGACACTGGGGCGGTTTAGTAATGTTGCCATTGTTTTTATCACTGAGATGTTTAATCAAGGGACTGATTAAACAAAAGGAATACAACTCAGAGTCTGCACTGCTTCCGAAGCCTCAGGTAACTCGGGTTAAAGGGCAGTGGCCCAGGCAGGCAGTTTGGAGAGCCTCTGTGTCTGTATTTCCCAACGTGTTTTCACTGGCACGTCATAACCAAAGCTTTCTTAAGTTAAGCCTGGGAAGGTGCCAGTCAGCTCCTTCACAACTGCCTTTTTCTTAATAAATCTGTGACCCTGACGATGTTCATGGGGTGCAATTTAGGGCACAAGCTGGCCCGGGCCCGGGCACGGGCGGGATGACCTAGGAAGCTGACTTGATATGGGGCATCCCGGCAGGCTGACCAGCTCTGACTTCAAACCATGAAATCAGACTGAGCTTCTTCGCAGTGCGCCCCTCCTGTAGGTTGCTGTCATTGACCTGATGTTCCCATCGCCACAGCAGCTCTGCTCTTCTGGTGCTTTGGGGGTTCTGCTGCGTTTCCTCCTGGGAATCCCCTCCCACCCTGGGTCTCGCTTAGGTTTTTCCACCAGTGAGGTGCTATTAGGGTCTAGTTGTGGCTGTCTCCTGGTCAAGCCCTGCACACAACTGCTGCAACAGATGCAAGCAGCCATTGTTCAGGATTTAAGATAAGAATTGTGCCTAGTCACAAATACTCCGACATAGTTCACACATGACCCCGGCATCATGCATGTGCAGTCGGGCACTCGTCCTGGGATGGGTACGTTTACATTCTGGAGAGCTGCTGACATCCTGTGAGATCAACTGCTCCCATGAGACTTCATGTCAAACTAGTGGAAATCTCATGAGCTTTGCTGATATTACAATAGTTCTGCCATCTTGAATGGTCAAAACCTCAGCACAGATCAGTTGTTCTGAAGAGATTCAGAGAAAAACACTTAACACCTGAAAAGAAACTTTTGATTCCCTGCCAGCTCTCTCTGGGCAGTCAGTGACAGCTGGAACTAACTGAAAGGCTAGTCATCCATCAATGCATTTTTAAGAGGTGTCCTTATTCAGCTCAACCTGGAGCAGAAACTCTTTTTAGACTTACAATCTTTTGCAGGATCTGAGGCAGGGTTCTGTCCAGTACACACGTTACGAGGGTCAGGATTTCATTCTCCAATGGCAGGGAAGATCTGCGTAGGTTAAACATTCAATGGTTAATAGCGGCAGCTTGCTTAGCAATGGAGTTAGGAGTCACAATACAGGAGAGATGTGTTCATCCTAAAGCAGTGAGCAGCATCAAGTCTGGCAAGGCATTCCCATGGGCCCGCAATTGAGACTCCCCTTCATTCCACGCGCACACCAGGGTGAAAGGCTGACTGTCTCCGTAGTTCAGGATGCAGCTGAATATTGACTAGAAATCAAACCCTCCTTAAGTGTAAGAATCGTCCGTCACTCAATATTTCAGGGTCAGATGTCGCAAGCGGGATGGGTGCCCTGCAGCGCACAGTGTACCCCAGCTGTTTACTGAGCAATGCGGCTAGAGTCCAGACAGGTAGCTGTTACTTACGCTTCCAGAACTTTGATGTCCATGTAACCAAGAGGGGTTTTGCAGTCCTCAAGGACGAGGCTGGTATCTCCCCTTCTGATTGCAATGGTGACGTTCCTGAGCACTTCAACTTCAATTATTTCACCTAAGAGGTCAAGGGGACTAAAGAAACATGCTAGGGTTAAACTAATCCCTAACTCATGCCCTTCATACAGTCTTGCAATCCGACTCTTCCAAAGAGAGACTGTTGGGTCATGGCCTAGCACAAGGACGTGCCGAAAACTGGCTGTCACTGACCCCACAAAGGGTTTTTATAAGTTTGTCACAACACTCAAAGTATGAATCCAAACGAAAACGCATGTGCTTCCCTACCTGCCATGTGTTGGCTTTCACATGGCCCACAAGCTGCCTTCCCTATGCAGCACTGGAAATTGTACCTCACAGGTCAGGACAACACTGGAAAAATAAACCCACAGCAGCAAGCCTGAGAGCTCCTCGGGTCAGCTGACTTGAGCTTGCACTACAGAACTAAAAATAGCAGCTTGCAGACTTCCCACTTGGGAACTTGGAACCCTGGCTCTGAAACCCCCCAGTGATGGGGGTGGGTCTCAGAGCCCAGATCCAGCCCAAGCCTGACAGCCCACATTGTTATTTTTAGCCCCATAGTGTGAGCCTGAGTCAGTTGCCCCTGGCTCTGAGACTTGCTATCCTGGGTCTTTTTTTTTTTTTTTTTCCTTCTCAGTGTAGCCATATCCCAAGTGACCCATAAGCACTGAAAGGTCCCCATAAAAAGTACAGTTCACCAAAGCTCCTCTAAGAACAATGATGGGCAAAGCATCTAGATAATTTAATGGGCACTAAATGTGGAGTGCCATACAACGACCCATAAGTGAGGGGCAGGTGCCCTCACGACCTGCCCCTCCAGCTGCAGATGCAATGCCTCACAAAGAGTGCTGGGAGTGAAAGTGCCTCACGGTCTGTAGTCTCATGCCAGACATCCAGCATCGAAAGGAATCCAGGGCCCAACATCCATGACCTGTTTGCATGGAGCCAAACGCCATGGTCTGAGAGCAGCTCTGGCATTTGCCAACCCTAAACATTTGCTAGGCAGCGCCCTACTGGAAGAATATATCACCCTGGGCAACTCATTAGCAACCAGGTGCCCCAGGCCAAATTTCTTTACTGGGGGAAACCCTATTTGCCCACCTGGCTTCATCACAACCTGGGGCTCTTTAAGAAGCAACTGTCAATAACCTAAGTTTTTCCCCTCTCTGCTAGTTGAGATGAGTCCCAGAAATGCCATCCATGAATATACAGAGCCAGGTCCTCAGCTGGGGTAAAACAGCCTGTCTCCATTGCTCCTGTATTTTACGAAATTGCTCCCTTAAACCACTGGACAGTTCAGATTTCTGGTGCAGTAGTAGCATTCCCAGCAGCCTTTGGTGCAGAAGGAAATGGTTTGGAAAAGAATGGCAAACCCATGGCTACCTCCTTGCAAGAAACTAAAAGGGTCTGTATGAAAACCGTTTGCTGTGTCTCTGCATTGATGTCTTTACTCCATCTTTGGCATGCAAAACTTTGACTATGTGCCTGGAACACCTCTTCCTAAAGTAGTGGACATTTTATGCTAAATTCTTGGTGGTGTAAACTGGAACATCTTGATTGGTTTCAGTGGAGCTGCACCCATTAACATCAATGAAGAATTTGGCCCTTTCCCTCAAATATCAAATAAAGTAGATGTAACTTTGCTTAAGAGCATAGATCTACAGAGCAACCTGCTCCATTCTGGAGTCTTTCTGCTAATGAACAACAAAAGAAAATGCCAGATATTTACTGACCTCTTAACTGCAATGTGTAGTTTCAATTTTAAGGTAATTTCCAATACACTGTTAGATAAGACGTCCACTGTTACGTTAGGGGCAGTGACTTCCTCGATTCTCAGCCTGTAAAAGAAACTCCTGTGACTGGGTCCTGTATTTCTGGAGCAGGAAGATCTGGGCTGCAGCCTCACCATTCCCAAGATGTTTTGTGCAGCTGTAGTGAGCAGCATAGTGGCTACTGTGGCTTGAGAGGGCCTCATAATTGTTCTAGTAGGACAGAATCTCTAATCCACACTATCTGTTAAACCACAGCTCTCACACTGACCCCTCCCTGCACCTTGACACAGCCTGCATGGCTCTGTCCTGCTGGCTTCCTAGAATCATAGAAACCTTGACCTGGAAAGGACCTCAGTAGGTCATCTAGGCTGGTGCCCTGCACTGAGGCACACTAAGTATTATCTAGAGGCTTCAATCTAGACCATCCTTGACAGGTGCTCTTAAAAACCTCCAGTAACAGAGATTCCACAACCTCCCTAAGTAATTTGTTCCTTTGCTTAACCACCCTGACAGTTGGGAAGTTTTTCCTAGTGTCCAACTTAAACCACCCTCTCTGCCATATAAGCCCATTGCTTCTTGTCCTGTCCTCAGTGGATAAGGAGAACAATTTATCACCCTCCTCTTCATAACAACCTTAGAGGTACTTGAACCCTGTTGTCTAATGTCCCCTCAGTCTTCTCTTTCCAGACTACACAATTGTTTCAATCATCTCTCATAGGTCATGTTTTCTAGGCCTTTAATCATTTTTGTTCCTCTCCTCTGGACTTTCTCCAGTTCGTCCACATCTGTCCCGAAGTGTGGTGCCCAGAACTGGGCATGGTGCCCTGGCTGAGGCTGTATCAGCGCGGAGTAGAGCAGAAGAATTACTTCTTGGTCTTGCTTACAACACTGCTGCTAAAACAGCCCAGAACCATGTTTGCTTTCTTTGCAGCAGAGTAACATTAGTAACACATATTTAGGTTGTGATCCACTATCACCGCAGATTATTCTCTTCGGGACTCCTGCCTAGGCAGTCCTTGCGCCGTTTATTGTTCCTTCCTAAGTGGAGTATTTTGCATTTGCCCTGATTGAATTTCATCCTACTTATGTTTCATCATTTGGGATTCAACTTACCCTACCACTTTGGTTAGCTCGGCGCCCAGCAGGCCTGCACGGCCGATGTCTCGCCCGGGAATTGGTCCCGTGACAGGCAGATCTCCAGCAGGTGGGACAGCTCTCGGATATCTCCTGAGAAGCGAATCTCCAAAGACAGGCAGATCTTCTCCCACAGACAAACCTCCACCGACGGGGAGGCCTGCTGTCACACTGAGCGTCCCTCCCTCAAGAGCGACATCTGTTCCTGCACTGAGCAGATCTCCACCTACAGGGGACCCTGATCTCTCTCCCAACACACCTTCATCTATAGGGACATTGGCTACAGCACTGACGGTATCTCCTGCTCCCCCATCCAGCGTACCTTCACCTACAGAGACACCTACTCCCCCACTGAGAGGACCACCACATATAGGGACACCTGCTCCCCCACTGAGAGGATCTCCACCTATAGGGATGCCTACTCCCCCACTGAGTGGATCTCCACCTAAGGGGACACCTACTGCCCCTCCGAGTACATCTCCACCTATAAGGACACCTACTCCACCATCAAGTATCGCTCCTCCTATAGGGACACCTGCTACCCCACTGAGTGTCTCTCCACCTATAGGGACACCTGCTACCCCACTGAGAGGATCCCCACCTATAGGGACACCTGCTACCCCTCCGAGTACATCTCCATCTATTGGGACAACGGCTACCCCACTGAGTGTGTCTCCACCTATAGGGAGATCTGCTACCCCACTGAGTGTGTCCCCAACCATAGGGACACCTGCTACCCCACTGAGTGTTTCCGCAACCGTAGGGACACCTGCTACCCCACTGAGTGTCTCTCCACCTATAGGGACACCTACTCCACCATCAAGTACATCTCCTCCTATAGGGACACCTGCTACCCCACTGAGTGTGTTTCCACCTATAGGGATGCCTACTCCCCCACTGAGTGGATCTCCACCTAAGGGGACACCTGCTGCCCCTCCGAGTATATCTCCACCTTTAGGGACACCTGCTACCCCACTGAGTGTATCCCCAACTGTAGGGACACCTGCTACCCCACTGAGTGTCTCTCCACCTATAGGGACAACTACTCCACCATCAAGTATAGGGACACCTGCTACCCCACTGAGTGTATCCCCAACCATAGGGACACCTGCTACCCCACTGAGTGTTTCTGCAACCATAGGAACACCTGCTACCCCACTGAGAGGATCCCCACCTATAGGGACACCTGCTACTCCTCCGAGTACATCTCCATCTATTGGGACAACGGCTACCCCACTGAGTGTGTCCCCAACCGTAGGGACACCTGCTATCCCACTGAGTGTTTCCGCAACTGTAGGGACACCTGCTACCCCACTGAGTGTTTCCGCAACTGTAGGGACACCTGCTACCCCACTGAGTGTTTCTCCACCTATAGGGACACCTACTCCACCATCAAGTACATCTCCTCCTATAGGGACACCTGCTACCCCACTGAATCTGTTTCCACCTATAGGAATGCCTACTCCTCCACTGAGTGGATCTCCACCTAAGGGGACACCTGCTGCCCCTCCGAGTATATCTCCACCTTTAGGGACACCTGCTACCCCACTGAGTGTATCCCCAACTGTAGGGACACCTACTACCCCACTGAGTGTCTCTCCACCTATAGGGACACCTACTCCACCATCAAGTACATCTCCTTCTATAGGGACACCTGCTACCCCACTGAGTGTCTCTCTACCTATAGGGAGATCTGCTACCCCATTGAGTGTCTCTCCACCTATAGGGACAACTACTCCGCCATCAAGTATAGGGACACCTGCTACCCCACTGAGAGGCTCTCCACTGATATGGACACCAGCTACCCCACTGAGAGGATCTCCACCTTTAGGGACACCTGCTACCCCACTGAATGTATCCCCAACCGTAGGGACACCTGCTACCCCACTGAGTGTATCCCCAACCGTAGGGACACCTGCTACCCCACTGAGAGGATCTCCACCTATCCGATCACCTGCTACCCCACTGAGTGTGTCTCCACCTATAGGGACACCTACCCCACGATCAAGTACATCTCCTCCTATAGGGACACCTGCTACCCCACTAAGTCTGTTTCCACCTATAGGGATGCCTACTCCCCCACTGAGTGGATCTCCACCTAAGGGGACACCTGCTGCTCCTCTGAGTATATCTCCACCTTTAGGTACACCTACTACCCCACTGAGTGTATCCCCAACTGTAGGGACACCTGCTACCCCACTGAGTGTATCCCCAACCATAGTGACACCTGGTACCCCACTGAGTGTATCCCCAACTGTAGGGACACCTGCTACCCCACTGAGTGTATCCCCAACCGTAGGGACACCTGCTACCCCACTGAGTGTATCCCCAACAGTAGCGACACCTGCTACACCATCAAGTACATCTCCTCCTATCGGATCACCTGCTACCCCACTGAGTGTATCCCCAACTGTAGGGACACCTACTCCACCATCAAGTACATCTCCTTCTATAGGGACACCTGCTACCCCACTGGGTGTATCCCCAACCGTAGGGACACCTGCTACCCCACTGAGTGTTTCTGCAACCGAAGGAACACCTGCTACCCCACTGAGAGGATCTCCACCTATCCGATCACCTGCTACCCCACTGAGTGTGTCTCCACCTATAGGGACACCTACCCCACGATCAAGTACATCTCCTCCTATAGGGACACCTGCTACCCCACTGAGAGGATCCCCACCTATAGGGACACCTGCTACCCCTCCAAGTACATCTCCATCTATTGGGAAATACCCCACTGAGTGTGTCTCCACCTATAGGGAGATCTGCTACCCCACTGAGTTTCCCCAACCATAGGGACACCTGCTACCCCACTGAGTGTTTCAACGTAGGGACACCTGCTACCCCACTGAGTGTCTCTCCACCTATAGGGACACCTACTCCACCATCAAGTACATCTCCTCCTATAGGGACACCTGCTACCCCACTGAGTGTGTTTCCACCTATAGGGATGCCTACTCCCCCACTGAGTGGATCTCCACCTAAGGGGACACCTGCTGCCCCTCCGAGTTTATCTCCACCTTTAGGGACACCTGCTACCCCACGAGTTCCCCAACTGTAGGGACACCTGCTACCCCACTAGACCCCAACGACCGCACCCCACTAGCCCACCTAAGGGACAACTACCCACCATCAAGAAACACACCCCACGGCCCCAACCAAGACACCGTACCCACTGAGTGTTTCGAACCGAAACACCACCCACGAGGGCCCACCTATAGAACCTATCCTCAGACATCTCCATCTATTGGACAATGCTACCCCACTGAGTGTCCCCAACCGTAGGGACACCTGCTACCCCACTGAGTGTTTCTCCACCTATAGGGACACCTACTCCACCATCAAGTACATCTCCTCCTATAGGGACACCTGCTACCCCACTGAATCTGTTTCCACCTATAGGAATGCCTACTCCTCCACTGAGTGGATCTCCACCTAAGGGGACACCTGCTGCCCCTCCGAGTATATCTCCACCTTTAGGGACACCTGCTACCCCACTGAGTGACCCCAACTGTAGACACCTACTACCCACTGAGTGTCTCTCCACCTATAGGGAGATCTGCTACCCCATTGAGTGTCTCTCCACCTATAGGGACAACTACTCCGCCATCAAGTATAGGGACACCTGCTACCCCACTGAGAGGCTCTACACTGATATGGACACAGCTACCCCACTGAGAGGATCTCCACCTTTAGGGACACCTGCTACCCCACGAAGTATCCCCAACGTAGGGAACCTGCTACCCCACGAGGTATCCCCAACTGTAGGGACACCTGCTACCCCACTGAGCTCCTACCTAAGGGAGTCCCCCATTCCCCCATAGGGACAACACCCAAAGAAGACGCACCCCACAGCTCTACACAAACACCAGCTACCCCAGAGGATCCCACCTTTAGACACGTACCCAATGTATCCCCAACCGTAGGGACACCTGCTACCCACTGAGGTATCCCAACTGTAGGGAACCTGCTACCCCACTGAGTGTATCCCCAACCGTAGGAACCTGCTACCCCACTGAGAGGATCTCCACCTATCCGATCACCTGCTACCCCACTGAGTGTGTCTCCACCTATAGGGACACCTACCCCAGATCAAGTACATCTCCTCCTATAGGGAACCTGCTACCCCACTGAGTGTATCCCCAACTGTAGGGACACCTGCACCCACTAGTTTTCTCCAACTATAGGGACACCTACTCCACCATCAAGTACATCTCCTCCTATAGGGACACCTGCTACCCCACTAAGTCTGTTTCCACCTATAGGGATGCCTACTCCCCACTGAGTGGATCTCCACCTAAGGGGACACCTGCTGCTCCTCTGAGTATATCTCCACCTTTAGGTACACCTACTACCCCACTGAGTGTATCCCCAACTGTAGGAACTGCTACCCCACTGAGGTATCCCCAACCATAGTGACACCTGGTACCCCACTGAGTGTATCCCCAACTGTAGGAACCTGCTACCCACTATGTATCCCTAACCGTAGGGAACCTGCTACCCACTGAGTGTATCCCCAACTGTAGGGAACCTGCTACCCCACTGAGTATATCCCAACTGTAGGGAACCTGCTACCCCACTGAGTGGTTCTGCAATAGAACCTGCTACCCCACTGAGAGGACCCCACCTATAGGGACACTGCTACTCCTCCGAGTACATCTCCATCTATTGGGACAAGGCTACCCCACTGAGTGTGTCCCCAACCGTAGGGAACCTGCTACCCCACTAGTGTTCTCCACCTATAGGGACACCTACTCCACCATCAAGTACATCTCCTCCTATAGGGACACCTGCTACCCCACTGAATCTGTTTCCACCTATAGGAATGCCTACTCCTCCACTGAGTGGATCTCCACCTAAGGGGACACCTGCTGCCCCTCCGAGTATATCTCCACCTTTAGGGACACCTGCTACCCCACTGAGTGTATCCCCAACTGTAGGGACACCTACTACCCCACTGAGTGTCTCTCCACCTATAGGGACTCCTACTCCACCATCAAGTACATCTCCTTCTATAGGGACACCTGCTACCCCACTGAATCTGTTTCCACCTATAGGAATGCCTACTCCTCCACTGAGTGGATCTCCACCTAAGGGGACACCTGCTGCCCCTCCGAGTATATCTCCACCTTTAGGGACACCTGCTACCCCACTGAGTGTATCCCCAACTGTAGGGACACCTACTACCCCACTGAGTGTCTCTCCACCTATAGGGACTCCTACTCCACCATCAAGTACATCTCCTTCTATAGGGACACCTGCTACCCCACTAAGTCTGTTTCCACCTATAGGGATGCCTACTCCCCACTGAGTGGATCTCCACCTAAGGGGACACCTGCTGCTCCTCTGAGTATATCTCCACCTTTAGGTACACCTACTACCCCACTGAGTGTATCCCCAACTGTAGGGACACCTGCTACCCCACTGAGTGTATCCCCAACCATAGTGACACCGGTACCCCACTGAGTGTATCCCCAACTGTAGGGACACCTGCTACCCCACTGAGTGTATCCCCAACCGTAGGGACACCTGCTACCCCACTGAGTGTATCCCCAACAGTAGCGACACCTGCTACACCATCAAGTACATCTCCTCCTATCGGATCACCTGCTACCCCACTGAGTGTATCCCCAACTGTAGGGACACCTACTCCACCATCAAGTACATCTCCTTCTATAGGGACACCTGCTACCCCACTGGGTGTATCCCCAACCGTAGGGACACCTGCTACCCCACTGAGTGTTTCTGCAACCGAAGGAACACCTGCTACCCCACTGAGAGGATCTCCACCTATCCGATACCTGCTACCCCACTGAGTGTGTCTCCACCTATAGGGACACCTACCCCACGATCAAGTACATTCCTCCTATAGGGACACCTGCTACCCCACTGAAGGATCCACCTATAGGGAACTGCTACCCTAGTACATTCCATCTATTGGGACAACGCTACCCCACTGAGTGTGTCTCACCTATAGGGAGATCTGCTACCCACAGTGCCCCAACCATAGGGACACCTGCTACCCCACTGAGGTTCCGCAACCGTAGGGACACCTGCTACCCCACTGAGTGTCTCTCCACCTATAGGGACACCTACTCCACCATCAAGTACATCTCCTCCTATAGGGACACCTGCTACCCCACTGAGTGTGTTTCCACCTATAGGGATGCCTACTCCCCCACTGAGTGGATCTCCACCTAAGGGGAACCTGCTGCCCCTCCGAGTTTATCTCCACCTTTAGGGACACCTGCTACCCCACTGAGTGTATCCCCAACTGTAGGACACCTGCTACCCCACTGAGTATATCCCCAACTGTAGGGACACCTGCTACCCCACTAGTGTCTCCCCTATAGGGAAACTACCCACCATAAGTATAGGGAACTGTACATGAGTTATCCCCAACATAGAACTACATGAGTGTTTTCAACTAAACACTGTACCCCACTGAGAGCCCACTATAGGGAATTTAAATTCCATTATTGGGAAATTACCCACTGAGTGTGCCCAATAGGACACCTCTACCCCACTGAGTGTTTCTCCACCTATAGGGACACCTACTCCACCATCAAGTACATCTCCTCCTATAGGGACACCTGCTACCCCACTGAATCTGTTTCCACCTATAGGAATGCCTACTCCTCCACTGAGTGGATCTCCACCTAAGGGGACACCTGCTGCCCCTCCGAGTTTATCTCCACCTTTAGGGACACCTGCTACCCCACTGAGTGTATCCCCAACTGTAGGGACACCTACTACCCCACTGAGTGTCTCTCCACCTATAGGGAGATCTGCTACCCCATTGAGTGTCTCTCCACCTATAGGGACAACTACTCCGCCATCAAGTATAGGGACACCTGCTACCCCACTGAGAGGCTCTACACTGATATGGACACCAGCTACCCCACTGAGAGGATCTCCACCTTTAGGGACACCTGCTACCCCACTGAATGTATCCCCAACCGTAGGGACACCTGCTACCCCACTGAGTGTATCCCCAACTGTAGGGACACCTGCTACCCCACTGAGTGTCTCTCTACCTATAGGGAGATTCTACCCATTGAGTGTTCTCCACCTATAGGGACAACACTCCATAAGTATAGGGACACTCTACCCCACTGAGAGGCTCTACACTGATATGGACACCAGCACCCACTGAGAGGATTCACCTTTAGGGACACCTGCTACCCCACTGAATGTATCCCCAACCGTAGGGACACCTGCTACCCCACTGAGTGTATCCCCAACTGTAGGGACACCTGCTACCCCACTGAGTGTATCCCCAACCGTAGGGACACCTGCTACCCCACTGAGAGGATCTCCACCTATCCGATCACCTGCTACCCCACTGAGTGTGTCTCCACCTATAGGGACACCTACCCCACGATCAAGTACATCTCCTCCTATAGGGACACCTGCTACCCCACTGAGTGTATCCCCAACTGTAGGGACACCTGCTACCCCACTGAGTGTTTCTCCAACTATAGGGACACCTACTCCACCATCAAGTACATCTCCTCCTATAGGGACACCTGCTACCCCACTAAGTCTGTTTCCACCTATAGGGATGCCTACTCCCCCACTGAGTGGATCTCCACCTAAGGGGACACCTGCTGCTCCTCTGAGTATATCTCCACCTTTAGGTACACCTACTACCCCACTGAGTGTATCCCCAACTGTAGGGACACCTGCTACCCCACTGAGTGTATCCCCAACCATAGTGACACCTGGTACCCCACTGAGTGTATCCCCAACTGTAGGGACACCTGCTACCCCACTGAGTGTATCCCTAACCGTAGGGACACCTGCTACCCCACTGAGTGTATCCCCAACTGTAGGGACACCTGCTACCCCACTGAGTATATCCCCAACTGTAGGGACACCTGCTACCCCACTGAGTGGTTCTGCAACCGTAGAAACACCTGCTACCCCACTGAGAGGATCCCCACCTATAGGGACACCTGCTACTCCTCCGAGTACATCTCCATCTATTGGGACAACGGCTACCCCACTGAGTGTGTCCCCAACCGTAGGGACACCTGCTACCCCACTGAGTGTTTCTCCACCTATAGGGACACCTACTCCACCATCAAGTACATCTCCTCCTATAGGGACACCTGCTACCCCACTGAATCTGTTTCCACCTATAGGAATGCCTACTCCTCCACTGAGTGGATCTCCACCTAAGGGGACACCTGCTGCCCCTCCGAGTATATCTCCACCTTTAGGGACACCTGCTACCCCACTGAGTGTATCCCCAACTGTAGGGACACCTACTACCCCACTGAGTGTCTCTCCACCTATAGGGACTCCTACTCCACCATCAAGTACATCTCCTTCTATAGGGACACCTGCTACCCCACTGAATCTGTTTCCACCTATAGGAATGCCTACTCCTCCACTGAGTGGATCTCCACCTAAGGGGACACCTGCTGCCCCTCCGAGTATATCTCCACCTTTAGGGACACCTGCTACCCCACTGAGTGTATCCCCAACTGTAGGGACACCTACTACCCCACTGAGTGTCTCTCCACCTATAGGGACTCCTACTCCACCATCAAGTACATCTCCTTCTATAGGGACACCTGCTACCCCACTAAGTCTGTTTCCACCTATAGGGATGCCTACTCCCCCACTGAGTGGATCTCCACCTAAGGGGACACCTGCTGCTCCTCTGAGTATATCTCCACCTTTAGGTACACCTACTACCCCACTGAGTGTATCCCCAACTGTAGGGACACCTGCTACCCCACTGAGTGTATCCCCAACCATAGTGACACCTGGTACCCCACTGAGTGTATCCCCAACTGTAGGGACACCTGCTACCCCACTGAGTGTATCCCCAACCGTAGGGACACCTGCTACCCCACTGAGTGTATCCCCAACAGTAGCGACACCTGCTACACCATCAAGTACATCTCCTCCTATCGGATCACCTGCTACCCCACTGAGTGTATCCCCAACTGTAGGGACACCTACTCCACCATCAAGTACATCTCCTTCTATAGGGACACCTGCTACCCCACTGGGTGTATCCCCAACCGTAGGGACACCTGCTACCCCATTGAGTGTTTCTGCAACCGAAGGAACACCTGCTACCCCACTGAGAGGATCTCCACCTATCCGATCACCTGCTACCCCACTGAGTGTGTCTCCACCTATAGGGACACCTACCCCACCATCAAGTACATCTCCTCCTATAGGGACACCTGCTACCCCACTGAGTGTGTTTCCACTTATAGGGATGCCTACTCCCCCACTGAGTGGATCTCCACCTAAGGGGACACCTGCTGCTCCTCTGAGTATATCTCCACCTTTAGGGACACCTGCTACCCCACTGAGTGTCTCTCCACCTATAGGGACAACTACTCCGCCACCAAGTATAGGGACACCTGCTACCCCACTGAGAGGCTCTCCAACAATATGGACACCAGCTACCCCACTGAGAGGATCTCCACCTTTAGGGACACCTGCTACCCCACTGAGTGTATCCCCAACCATAGGGACACCTGGTACCCCACTGAGTGTTTCCGCAACCGTAGGGACACCTGCTACCCCACTGAGAGGATCTCCACCTATCGGATCACCTGCTACCCCACTGAGTGTATCTCCACCTATAGGGAGACCTGCTACCCCACTGAGTGTATCCCCAACTGTAGGGACACCTGCTACCCCACTGAGTGTCTCTCCACCTATAGGGACAACTACTCCACCATCAAGTATAGGGACACCTGCTACCCCACTGAGAGGATCTCCACCTAGAGGGAGACCTGCTACCCCACTGAGTGTATTCCCAACCGTAGGGACACCTGCTACCCCACTGAGTGTTTCTCCACCTACAGGGATGCCTACTCCTCCACTGAGTGTCTCTCCACCTATGGGGACACCTACTCTGCCATCAAGTATCTCTCCTCCTATAGGGATACTTGCTGCCGCACTGAGTGTTTCCCCACCTAGAGGGACACCTGCTACCCCACTGAGTGTCTCTCCTCCTATAGGGACACCTGCTGCCCCACTGAGAGGATCTCCAACGATATGGACACCAGCTACCCCACTGAGTGTATCTCCACCTAGAGGGAGACCTGCTACCCCACTGAGTGTGTCCCCAACCGTAGGGACACCTGCTACCCCACTGAGTGTGTCCCCAACCGTAGGGACACCTGCTACCCCACTGAGTGAATCTCCACCTATAGGGAGACCTGCTACTCCACTGAGTGGTTCTCCACCTAAGGGGATACCTACTCCGCCATCAAGTATATCTCCACTTATGGGGAGACCTGATCCCCCAGTGAGTATGTCTCCACCTATAGGGAGACCTGCTACCCCACTGAGTGGGTCTCCACCTAAGGGGACACCTACTGCCCCTCTGAGTACATCTCCACCTGTAGGGACACCTGCTACTCCATTAAATGTTTCTCCACCTATAGGGACACCTGTTCCCCCTCCCAAGGCACCTTGATGTGTAGATACACCTGCACCCCCACCACGCAACCCCCTACCGCTACTTATTGGGACACCTCCTCCTCCACTTAGCAGACCCCCACCTACCCCACCAAGGGAATTCCCAGTTAAAGGTAACCTCACTCCCCTGCCTCCCCCAAGCAGCCATCTGATCAAAGGGAGACGTGCTCCCTGTCCTCTTGAGCCAAGCAGCCTCTCATGGACAGGCTGTCCTGCTCTCCTACCTTCCATCCCGAGCATAGGTCTGGCCTCTCCAACCCCCCTCCCACCAAAGGAAGGCACCTCTCCAGCCCCTTGTGCATTGGACCGACGCCCAGCTCCCTGCCCACCTAACAGCCTGCCCACCACAGACAGCAGGCTGCCGAGGAGCGATGGCTGGCTTTCTGCGATGGGTATGCCTCCAGCGTCTGGCAGCTGCCCTCCAGGGTCACCACGGAGCTGCTCATCCGCCAGACTTTGCCCATGGAGCACGTGGGACACGAAGTCTGGAAAGTCTGAAAAGATTGCCAGTCATGTCACTGATGACCCTGCTGAGCCCTGGGCGGGGAGGAACAGGGCTGTACATGTTAGTATGGCCCATTGGGCCCCTGCATCGGGCACTCCTGCAGCACTGCCTACATGGCAGCTATGCCATCTCGCACGGGGCCCGCCTTTCAGAGGGGCTCAGCAGCCACCGCTCCTGCTGAGCAGGATCCCAGCACCCCTGAAAATCAGGGCCCAGCTACTCAGTTGTGTTGGCACCATCAAATAATGGAACACAGGTTTCCAAGCCAGAAGGGCCCCAGCCCATCATGCTCATATAGCTGATCTGCTGCATACCATGATACGCCGAATTATACCAAAGAATTCCTGCGTCAAGCCTAGAACCTTGAATGGCTGTTGGAAAGAGAGACACTAAGTAGGAGACCAAGAGGTGTCCTCTGATCGCTGTGACCTCAGAAGACAGCTTACCTCCACCCCATCCCACGGATGGCTTGTTACAGTACCAGAGGAAAGACTCGCCGAGCTAGCAGGTTTCATGTCAGGCGGGGTGGGGAACGAATGGGACATTTTCAACTCACCTTTCTCAGAAGCCTTGTGCCTGATTATCAGCTGCGGCCAGTAGCCCTGCGTGCCTTGCGGCAGGGTCAGCAGAGCGCAGAAGAGGAGAATGCTGCAGGCCTTTAACATCTTCGCCCCACTGCCGGTCAGAGCGTTTCTAGTCAATGCTCCTGCATGGGACCGAGCGGGAAACGGACAGGTACCACAGTGAGAACACAGAAAACCCAGTGAGACAGAAGACAATGTGCCGTATACGTTCTAGAAAGGGAAGGAGTTAGGTGCATACTCTAGATATGATGGGGCCGATCCTAGTCTCCCCCCCAGCACGGCTTTGTGCTGCTCTAGCGTTGCAAAGCCGCTACACAGCTGGCTGGGGGTCCCCTGACACAGAAGAATTCCCAGGTGGTGCAGAAGCAGCACCAGCCCGCTCTAGGCCACCCACATCCTGGCCCTGGCATAGGGGCGTGGCCTTGGGGACAGAAGCACAGCTGAAAGAAGACAAGGAGGACTTGTGGCACCTTAGAGACGAAAATTTATTTAAGCATAAGCTTTCGTGAGCTACAGCTCGCTTCATCGGAGGCATTCAGTGGAAAATACACTGTGCTCCAGCAATCTCCAGCTATCAGAATGCCCCTTAGGAGCTATTGCAACAGGGGCAACTTAGAGCAACCCCGAGCTACAGATCACATCCAATTGCTCCTCCTTTAAAGCCCTCTGTGCAGCCCAGACTTGTATATGGCAGCTCTAATGTAGCACTCCTTAAGATTCTCAATGAAATGGCGACCGTCCTCTCCCACTCCCGGAAATCCCAGCCACGAATAATTAAATGGAACAATGCGACTAGGACTCTGGGACAAAAAACATTCATGCTGCTGGCACAAATTTCAGTTTGTATTTCTCTCCCTCTTTGAGAGGGATGCTGGCACGGTGCAGAAGGATCATTTAGAGTAAGGGAGAATTCTATCAAAGGAGGAAAGAAATCCAAATGATGGGACTTGTCATATGCCAACACTACATGTCCAATTTAGGCAAATGCCCAGCACACAGTATGTCACAAGCTACCCTTCTTGGTTTGGATGCGGGGCAGGGCCGTTTGCGGGTGATTTGTTACAGAGGAGATGTTTCACCAAGAGAGGTCTGTTATACATGAGCTATTGGAATCAGATCTGTAATTCTTGAGGGCCAGAAAGGTTGCAGAGCTGAAGCATCTTTAGAAGTGTTTTAAGTATTTTAAGTACCTTCACACATTAATCTTTGGGTCTCGGGGGGGGGGTGAGGGGGAGTTAGGAGCCTCTACTCAAACCGAGTGTTTGTTTGGGGCTGTAGGTTAGAACATGGGAGGGAAGAGGATGAAATAACAATTAGACTCATTTTTCATTTAATAACCTAGGAGGTGGCAGACTAACTGGATCTCCTGGAACTAAGTGAAGCATTTGAATTCTTCTTTGGAAAGATATGGCATTACGGGCCTGATTGAAACCCCCTGGAAGTCCGAGGAGAGAACTGACTTCAATGGCTTCTGGATCAGGCCCTAAACATGTAAATGAACAGACTGATCCTAAGTGGGACTAGGATCTCCCTCCTGTCTCCTGCTCCAGAGCCCACTCCCCTTCTCTTTGCCTGCCTTTGCAGTAGGAGATACATCATCAAATCCTTCCTCTTTGATGCATTTCTCTTACCTTATCCAGTGAAAAGAAAAGGAGTACTCCTTTTCTTTTTGCGAATACAGACTAACACGGCTGTTACTCTGAAACTTATCCAGTGAGTCGTCTTTGGTAGCCATTCAGTAACTTCTCGTCTCTCTGTGGCTGCTGACATGGAGCGGGCAGCCCTTATATAACAAAACCCTGCTCAAGAATGAGGAACATCAGAGGAGTCATAAAAGCCAAAGATTTCATGCATTTAATTGACTCATTATGACATTTATTGTGTGCCAAAGTAAATCACTGCTAATTGTCACATCACTCGGGGACCCCGTTTTTTGCTTGCGTTCATACAAACCGGATCAAAAATGGGCTGTGCGTGTCGAATTAAAATGTAAAGTTCAAGTCCGTGCTGTTACTCAAGAATTTCGGATTTACATAAATGAAAGTGCTGAAAACCTACAGCGGTCAAGTGGCAGGATTCCAGTTCAGACCAGTTGCTATCTGGCAGGAGGATGACTCCACTGATCTCCCCATAGTCGGATGCTCCCCTGAGACCAGCATCGCAGCAAGGAGACTCCGGAGAGGTCTACTCGTCAAACGTTGCATCAGCACAACTGCACAGCTGCAGCAGACAAAGACGCTCGAAGCAGAGGAGAGAGCGCATCTCACATTGCCGTAGTTAATCCATCACGCGAGAGGTGGGAGAAGCCCTCCCGTCCACACAGCACTATCTACGCTGGCATTTAGATGGGGATAACTCCATCACTCCAGGGTGTTCCACCAAAATAATTCTGTAGCTTATACCAGGGCTCTGTGCTGGGTTCCTGTGTAGCCTCCACTCGGTGCTCGCTGCAAAGTATGGGCTACGGTTTCTGAAAATATTCATAGAGCCATAGAATTTAAGGCCAGAAGGGACCATTAGCTCATCTAGTCTGACCTCCTGCATATTGCAGGTGACAGAATTTCGCCCACTTACCCCCGCATTGAGCCCAATTAGCCTATGGCTGCCAGCCTGGCAGGGGTGGAAATCGGCATGCACAAAACATAATTGTTTTTCACTTGTAAAGTCGGTGGTTGCACGCACAAACATGCAGTTAGACTTGTAATTACTCACATTTGCACACACAAATGCCAGCTTTTACAAGTTTAAACAGATGCTGCTGTAAATATTACAGAGAGCCTTTTAGAGCCCCTTCGAAAATGTGGCCTTCTCTGTATACCTGTTAATACTGGCTCCACACATTATTGCAAAAAATCCCACCTCTTTCAAAGACCCCCTGCTCCGTACATTCTTCTCCATCTACGAGGAGGGCAAAGACAGAGTTTTCCTTCCAAAGCTTTCTCTTCCCGCTAGCACAATATATAGATCGAGATTCCATGTAGCTTTGGGCGTGCACTCCCCAGTCAAGTGTGAGCGTTCTCTTGCACCCACCCAGGACCTCGTGCCCCATTGTTCTCCCCCTTGCTGAAGAGGGCAGAGCCCCGGCCACAGAGGTGGGCCAGGCCAGGGCGCTCACTGAGCTAGTCTGAGCCCAGGCAAACTATCCATTTAATGGCAAGTCATCAGCCTGCTAATCTCCCTAAACAGCCAGCTGGGTGAATGTCTACACAGGGATAAAAAACCGCTGGGTCAGCTGATTTGGGCTTCGGCGCTGAAAAATTGTTGTGTAGACATTTGGCCTTGGGCTGGAGCCTGAGCTCTGGGGCCGTGCGAGGGTGGAGGGCAGAAAGAAGACTTAGCAGCCGCACATACGCTATCTCCCGTTAGGAGCAGGCATGATTTTTAACCAGACTAAGAGGCATTTCCCCATGCGTGCGTGGAATCAGCCGCACCAAACACGCTGTAACGTGGCAGGGCAGCATCGTTGCGGGCACTTACAGGGGCTCTGCTGTTCTCTGTGGGAGAGAACTGGTCTTGCAGCCCCTGACTGAGTGGAGAGTCCAGCTGAGCCCTGGTCTCCCGTCGCCAGGATGCAGACAGACACGAATGAGAAACTCGACTAAAAAGAAATGTGCTTAGAAAGCGGCTGAGTTTGGAGAAGAAGCAACATTTGTGTGCAGCTTGTGATACCCCAAAGTCGGTCAGCTGACCTAGGCCCCTCCAAAGCTCAGCTGTGTGCAGTGGGACTTGTGTGCACGTTCATTTCCGGTTCGTGTTCGGGCCGTTGCACCTCCAGACTGTTCAGGGAATTCCTTGGCTTGGGGATGTGGCAACCACCAATGGAAACTGGAATTGGGCTTGAAGTAAAGCCTTTCTAGCTCACCTAGGGCTATGTGCCGAAATGAGTTAGCCATCAGAACAGGCTCACAAGCTACTAAAACTCAACTGCAGTTGAACCTTATCTGCAGGTTGGACTGAGACAGAGAGAGAGAAAAACAAGACGTTTGAGTTGAGAGTTCATCTCCTCTCCCCCAGCTCCCCTATTTGAGGTGATATGATAACAGTCACTTCTAGGCACTGCCTTTGATGTTTGAAAGCCCCTGGCTAGGTGCTTAGACCTTTCCGTTTCTTTGTCCTTCTTGTGCCACACAATTCTTATCACTTCTACAGAGCATCACTCAGAAAGAAAAGCAAACAAACTCCTTTAGTTTCTATTAGATCCCCAGCTCCTTGGGGCTCCCCCGCTGTACACTCCCTCCTGCCATGGGAAGGAACAAGGAACAGCTGCTCACAGCTGTACTGAAACGTACCGATAAGCATGGGCCCCTGCTCGCTAGCAGTAGGCATCCTTCAGTCTCGAGCCCCCATGGGTACGCGCCCGGGAGAGGAAACGAATTCACTCCGCTGGTTTTTTGTCAGCTGCGGCGATGGGTCAAGAGAGACAATCTCTGTCACATTTAAAGGCAATGTTTTGACCCTTTGGGCTCTGCCTTCTGTGAGCAACTTCTCTTCTGCTAAGCTGGACGGCTTCCTAGTAACTCCGAGGTCTAAGGCACAGTTTAACCTTGAGGAGCTCCACGTTCACAATGTCACCCCTGCAGAGAAAACAGAGGCAATAAAACTGCCAGTGGCCACAGCAACTAAGGAGAACAACCCAAATTCTCTAGGGCCCCAACCCCCACTTCTTTGGTTCCTTAAAGAGCTACTGAAAGTGAAGTACGAAGACATCTTTCTAGGGGCAGGAGCTCTGGGCATTTGAAAGAGCCCTCTTCCCTTATCCGCGGTCCCACCCAAAAGGCACACACCTACAGGGAGCCCCTCAGAAGCTCCACACAAAGATTCCAGGTTACCCTGGCCCAGGCTGAGATACCCAATTGCATTCTGGGTTTCTGTCCTTCCCCTTTAAAGATCTTCTCTCTCCCACCATGAATCAGGACTGGCCTTCAACCAACAGCTGAATGGTGTCATTAAACCTGAAATTCTGCTCTCTCAGCAGCCTCCACAGGGTGATTGGGAGTCCCGCATTCTCCAGCCAGCAGCCACCTCCAATCTAGAACAAAAACCTCCCTTGCTGATTGACTGCTCCCTTTCAATACACGTCTTCCTGCTTTATTGCTTTGCTCACCCGAGGATGGGTTCCACCAGGCGCTCAAGCAAGTCTCCAACAATGGGCAGTGTGACGCCCAGTACGCAAACCTCCATTGGTTTGCTGTCACTTCTTACCAGACCCTGGAGGGGCTGTCCTCGGAGTTTTTTCATTATTACCATTAAGCTGCCCTGAATATACTGAAAACATTACCAGGAGGCCAGACTGTATGTTTCTAACATGACATGTATCGTTGTCACTGTCTGCAGTAATAGACATACAAATAGCACCCTGGTAATAAACAATTTTATTTACAGAGCCTTTTAAGGCGAATAAAGATTCAGCGTAAAATTCAGCAGTCACAGCCTCCGAATAACCTTAAGAATGCAGGGTGCTACACTTCAGAATTACCATAGCTCAAGTGCAAACTTGAGTCCTGGCCCTGGGATCGGGTCCCTGCAGGCAGACCTAGACCCCTGCACCATTGACTTCAATGAAGTTCCTATGGGCATATTTAGGCACCTAGGTAAATTGTCTGATTTTCAAAAACGCTGAGAATCCAGCAGTTGCCACTAATGTCAGTGGACCTGCTCCTGGAAGTAAGCACTGTGGGTTGATAGCATGGTCCAATCCTGAGTGGTGCTGAAGGCCATTCACCCCCATTGACTTCAGCATCTTACAAGTTCATTATTCGGTCCCTTTTTGTTTCTTTTTCTTGCCTAGATTATTTCTCCAGGGAGCTCAGTGGAGGCTAGGTTGAAGCCCCGTAGCACAGAGACAGGCATTCAAGGGTATCACACCATTCTGCTAGAAGCCCAAATGAGACACGACCCACATTGTTCCCAGAATTTCCGGGTTTATGCTCAAGGTGGCCTGAGGGTTCACATTTCCTTCGAGGGGGTCAGCAGAGCACAAGAGGGGCAAGGCCCCAGAACGTAACCGTGTCCAGGTCCAATGCCTGCTGAGAACGTTGCCAGTCAGCACAATGTCACAGGCACCACCAAAGGAGCTGGATTAATACACAGGCCCAAATTCAGGGGGTTTGCTGGTTTTTACCAATGTGGATTTGCCATGACGAGGGGCGGCCGGGCGGAACCTGAGTGGTGCTGAAACTGTGTGGGCCAGATCGCAATGCCCCTCGCTTAAGTTCTTTCAGTTTCTGCACAAATCCGCCCCAGGGGATGAGGGGGCAGAGACAGTCTTCACTCACAGCTGAGCCTCGTGCTGCCATTCCCAGCAGAGCCCAGGAGAGAGGAGGGCAGCGGGTAAAGAAACGCTTTCCTTCCCCAGCAGCCGTAAGCGGGCAGGCTGGGATGGGAATTTACTGCAGTGGCATGCACAGGAGGGAACATTACGGACATGTATTTTTTCCCCTGCTTTCCATTTATCAGCTGTGTGTTGTTATTCATACTAGCATGTAGGGGCCCAGAAGCGAATGTTTGCCAGGGGCCTAGTGAGCATTAATCCAGCCCTGGACACCAACAGCCTCTGAGGGAAATGCAGAAAAGGAGCATGGAGAAGGTAGCCAAACAGCACAGAAATGCAGAGCTCAATCCCTGCAGAGATTTAGCTGAAAATTTACAGCCCCGACTGCCCCAGCTCTCAAGCCCGGCTAAGCTGTGCTCAGCACAGGAAGGAGAGAATAAAGGTGATGCTAGTTCTCCCATTCTGAGGCTGGCAAGGGGACAGTTTCATAC